CCCCAGGACAGGGCCCCCATCCCCTCCCTACTCCTGCTGGCCACACTAGTTCTGATACAGGCCAGGATGGCGTTGGCATGACCTGAGATCCCGTGATTTCTCCCCAGCTTGTCCCGCTTCACCTCCTGCCCGTGGGGTGAAGTGGGGCTGAACTACACCCCCAGGGATCCCAGGGATCCTTCCCGAAGGCACACGCACCTCGTTGGACTTGTTCCTGAGACGGACGAATCTGCCCTCCAAGTCCACCTCCTCCACGCCGACGCGGCCGCTTGTCCGGGCGTGATGGGAGAAGCTGGTCCGACTCTCGCTGTCCTCCAGTTTCCTCTTCTTGGAGGAGCCCGGGGTGGACAAGTGGCTACGGGATGCACCTTTGTGGGAGGAAGGGCTGGGGGACAGCCTCAGCCTGGGCAGGAGGAGAAGGTGAGATGGAGCCAGTGAGAACACGAGGGCTGGGACCCGCACAGCCCACCGGCTGCAGCGCCCCGCGCTCACCGCTCCTCCTCGCCCTCCAGCAGCTTGCGGTAGGCATTGATCTCCATGTCCAGAGCCAGCTTGATGTCCAGCAGCTCCTGGTACTCGTCCAGCTGCTGCTGCATGCGTGCCCGCATCTCGGCCATCTCCCGCTCCTTGTCGGAGAGCAGGCGCCTGTTGGTCTCGCGTTCCCTGGCCAGAATATCCTCCAAATCGTGCAGCTTCGCCTCCTTGGCGGCCAACTGTGGTGGGGAGGGAAGGTGAGGGGGGGCTGCTCCACCTGGGGCCATCCCCAGGAGGGGACCGTCCCCGGGGGCAGACATCCAGAGGAATCCCTTGGTCCTGACTCACCTGCTTCTGCAGCTGGCTGACTTCAGAGGAGAGGTTGTCGATGCGGATGCGGGTTTGCTGCAGCTCCTCGTGGGCAGCACCCACCATGTTGCTGTTCCTCTCAGCCGACTGCTTGGCGTTCTCCAGCTGGAGGACAAGACGGGTGGGTTAGCATCCCCAGCACCCTCTGCCCACCGGCACCCCGCAGGGCAGGGTGGGAAGAGGAC